TATATTACTTATCTATACTGCTTGATATTTGAGATATTAGGATCTGAAATTGCATGTTTTTAATGCTAATCACGGCTTCTACAATTGCTATTGTAAATATTTTTCCTATTGTTAGTAAGAATGTCATATGCCCTACCATATATTGCATATAAAAAAAAATTAATGAATTCATTTTATATTAGAAATTCATTTATTTGCATTAAGTCAAGTTAGATACTTGACTTCATTATTTATGACATGTTGGCATATACTTATGTTACTTAAAAATTAGTTTTTATGGTAGTCATATCTCTTTGACAGCGCAACTCTTTCCTAATTATCTAAGCTAATATTTGCTCAATCATTTTAAATTAAGACAATGTCTTCAAACTAAACGCATATTTAATTTTAAAAAATTAGATTATAAATAAGTCTTCCTCTTATCATTCTTTCATTTATGTCTATTAAACTTTCACTCACGTATTTTGCGGAAGAGCAACTCCCCACAAACTTGTTTTCTTGCCTAGCCCTGGATTTCGTAATATTGCTTCGTTATCATTCGAACGATAATTACGTCAAAAATCATTTGATAAAAATCTGTTATAAAATACTTTGCAGTAAGTGTGGAATCCGTAATAAACTCAAAGCTTGATTAAAATTCTAAAATTATTTTATTTATAACTTAAGAGATAAGATAAATTTAGCAAAAATAAAGCAAACACATATTATCTTTAGTATGGCAAAAAAATGGAATTTTCGGAAGTGAATTCAATAATAATGGGAATGAGAGCTATTACAGGAAGAGGTCTTGATTTATAATTGTTTGAAAACTATATGTTATAGAGACTAGAATTAACAATAAAAATAAGAACGAGAATTATTTGTATTTTATTTTTAATTAAATCTTTGCCTAAAATGATTTCAATGGTAGAGGACAAAGGCAATAGCTAATCATAGTGAATATATATATAATTTAATTCGATGAACTTCTGTAGAATTAAATTATAACTAATGAAAATCAATGAATTTTTTTTTTTAATAAAACAAATTAACATAATAATGAACTAACTTCGCATAAATGTGAAGCACCCAATTTGAAATATGTAAACATCGATATTTTAGATTCAGAAATCTGGTATGGGTCATCAAAAGGAACTTTGACATCATTTGATTACTTACGTAATAAGTAATTAAATTAAATTAAAATATTTAATTGTTTAATTTCTTTTAGTTAATTATCCTGCTAAGAAAAGGAAGCTGATATATAGCCAAATAATTCGACTGTCACTTCTATATGGATCAGTAAGGCCTCAAACACTACTATTCGCCAGCTAGAAATTGCACAAAGCCAGGCTCTGAGAAGAATTTTCAAAGTGCCATGGTACATTAGGACGAATGACATTCTCAGGGATCTGAAGATTGATTCAATCAAAAAATAGATAAAGGATAGAGCCCTGAAATTATTTACGAAAACTGGCAGGCTTACCAACACCGCGTTATCGAATCTCAGAATAGTTACAGGCTCCTCAGGGAGGTATGCAGGTCTGAGGTCAATTATTGCTTTGTCTGATGAAGTGATAAACAATAATCCAGTCAAGGTGTAAAGAAAGACGTATGAAGAAACCTCGCAGTTATTAGAGAGTAAAAGTGCTCAAGTGCACTGACTCAACTAGCCTCAACATAATAACAAAGTAAAATTTAATTTTAATTATTGTTTTCATTAATCTTATTTATCATTTCTTTGATTTAGATTGATTTGGTTAAAAACCTTTCCTTACTTAAAACTTTGTGACAATTTTATAAAGAAATTAACTATAGCACCTTTCCATTTCTAACTTTTTCATAATTTTTATAACTTTAAAATCTTATTAATATGCAAATTTGATTTGGTAAATTTAAGAAAGTATACACTTATTTTAATTAGTTGAAATATTAAAGACGATCTGCAAAATTTTCGCTGATTTGCCCGTCTTAATAGAAAATTGAAAGGTATTTAATATTATTTCCCTTTCTTTAAAGTTTCCGTATTAGAAAATTTTTTAATTATTTTGAATTAAAATTTATTTATAATGAAGGCACATCAACAGACAAATCTTGAAATAGGTAACCACCAAATAGGTAACTTATGCAAAGAAGTGTTCAAGAAAAGTGAGGGGTAAAAGTAAAAGTGTGATAATTATATGCAAAAGCCGCACAAAAATGTATTTGATATTTAAAACTTTTGATTTCTTTTTATTTGTTTAATGTGTATACACTGCATTGTTGTTGTTGTTTTCATCGCCATGCGTTGCTCATATTGTTGTTGTTGTCGTCGTCGCTGTTGCTGTTTGATTGTTACTACTATTGTGATTTCTGTTATTGATTAATCACAATAACTACTGATACAACACCAACTACAACAACACAAATACAACAAAAACAAATACAATAACAAAACTTATTGTTATAAAAAAGGTGAAAGAAGAATCAGCTTTCAGTTAAAAGTAAAATTTTTTATACTTGATATTTTTTGTTGGTTTTTTTCTTTTGACGGATGCACATGGAAAAAAAGCCCACACACTGCCCGCCATTACAAGAGTCATTAGTCGGGTTATTTCAAATAGCATTATGGTATTCTGCGTATGCGTGTGCGTGTGTGTGTATTGATTTGTGTGTAATAAAAATATATGAAATAAGTGTATTTTATTGCACTAGTGTGAGTAATTTTAAAGCATCTTTTTTTTAAATTTTCTTTCTTTTCGATCTTTTTGTGGTATTTTTTTTTTATTTATTGCGGTTTTTTGGGTGCTTTGAACTCATTCGGTTGACATTTTGCCACGGGTTAACGTTACTTTTATTTATTTAAACAAACTCTTATTAAGCACTTATAATGTGTATTTTAAAAATTTCACTTTCTTCTTCACCTATTCTCAATTATGTACTTTTTACCTTTTGTGCGTGTGCAAGAAAAGATAAGAAACTAAAAGCCTTTAATCACATGATTAAATAATCAAAAAGTAAAAAAAAAATTGTTGGGCCATTGTGGCTTATCAGCATTTATGACATGTAATACCTGATAAAGTACTTGTGGCGCATAGATAAATATACTTGGGCTTTTCTTAATAAATCTTAGATACATTCTATTGTACATATGTATGTATATTTACTTGAACTTCTAAGATATTAGAGCATATCAGATTCTGGATACAGTAGAAAATAACTGTATTTGTATAAATTTTTAAAATAATTTTTAGATATTTTGTTGAAAAATTTTATCTGATAAAAATTCTTCATTACTTTAAGTAGTTTTGAAGGAATTTAAATAAATTTAATTAAATAAAACATTTAAATTAACAGAATATACCCAAAATATATAGAAATACTTAATTTAAAAGTAAACCTATATGCATATTCTGCTAAGAAATATTGAAAATACAGAAATTAGGTTATGTCAGGTTGTAAATTATTTATGGGTAATTATAGGCAGCCATATTCTAAATTAAGTTAGTTTAGGACGGCGAACTTGTGCTTAAAACCCACTTGAGCTTATATAATGGGCCGTTGTTATACCACGGATTAGCGTTATGCATATACAGACTAAAGGTCAGCGCACTAACAGCGTCAAAAGACAGGACTCTCCCATTCGAGTGAAATTAAACCAAGCCTAAAAGCTTTGTTAAGTTTGATAAGCTTGATCAAGTTTGTAATTTTGCAAATGACAGTTCCATCACGTCAGTAAGAAAAGAAAAGAAATTATTATTTCATCCTTTTAGAGCAATCGGAGCAAAAGAAAAAACATTTTCCATCAAGAGAATACATCTGCCTTAACAGCTCAAGAAACCATCGATAAAATAAATGAATTTAAATATGAATTATTGCACAAAACAGGCTATTCAATTATCAAATTTAGTCTCTTCTAGATTATGGTTTTCTCTTAGGATTGCTTACTTAAAAGAGCATTTTCTTGATGACGCAGTTCTATACATTACTTTATCTTCCAAAGAATTTATAAACTTTTCAAATTTAAGTATTAAAACTATGAATCATTAGATATTTTTAGATTCCCATAATTAAATTTATTTTTAAATTATCTGTTAAATTCTATTGTAAAACAATAAATTTTTCCATTTTGAATATTAAAAGGGGATTTTATTGAAACACTAAAAATTGTTTCCCCATTAAATGCTTATGTTATTTTTCTTTGAAATAAAAAATTAAAATAACTTTATTGACCACAAATAAATTGAAATAATTTCGTTCGTCTAAGTGAAGCTCTTCAATTTGGAAAAAACAATTCAATGAGAGTTTAAGGTTTTTTATTAAAATCCTTGAATGAAGACAACAGCGCCAAAGAGTGATATTTTAAATATTGGTTCAATTCTGCGTTTAAAATTAAATTTCTTTCTGCTGATAAATAAGCAAATTATAAATAGTTTAATAAAAAAGAAACAACATAAATATTATCTAACATCGAAATAATGAAAATATTGTTTACCACACATTTGCACCTAATATGGAAATGCTGGTATTCAAGAGTATTTCTTAGAAGGGTATTTCATGGATCATTAGAATTTAAGTCTAGGAAAGACAGGTTCCATACTGTCTTTTATTAAAGAAATCGGACTTGGAGAAACACTTTAACCCGATTAAGAGGCACAATAGATCTTTTATAGATCTATTATTATAATAATAATAATTACCACACATTGCTATAAAACGCATAGTGCCCAAGAATAGTAAAATAATAAATTTTATCATTTAATCTTAAAATAAATTTCAAATATTCTTTATAACTGCATTTTAATTTATTAAATAAATTTGTCAATAAATAATTTGCATATTTGCAAAATTGCACATACTAATTGAAACACTAACACTAATGCAATTATTGCAATAATTAACACTTACCTTTATTGAACTATTCCTTAATTAATTGTTTTGAACTATTATTCAAATTACTTGAACTATGGTTCAGTTTGATGTGTTCAATGTGCGCTGAATATTTTCAAATTTAAGCTGCAAAATATTATTTTAATTTTTATTATTTCAATTCTGTAAATAAGCAAGAATGAAGTTCTGTTTATACTTAAGCATTTATCAACAGATTAAATAAACATGCTTAATAAATAAAATAAAATTAATGTATTTTTAATATATCAATTTTTGGCAGTTTTAATAACACATTAAGATAACTTTTTTTTAAATACTTTTCAAACTTTAACGGTACAAAATGTGGAAACAAAAAAAAGCAATATAATATTAAGAACTTAAGACGATTACAAGTGAGCAATAATAAAATAAATAACGAAAAACGGCAAGTGCAACAACAAATTTACAAACAAAAAACGTTAAAGCAACAGCAAACAGTGCTACTAACAGCAGCTCCATACACCAAACAGCAAGCGACAACAACAACAACAATAGCAATTATTCGTACGATATAACACTTTAAAAGTCAAAGTCACGAACACAAAAATTAGAAAAATTCAAAAAAAAAATTAAGCGTTAAGAAAAAAATTTAACTGCTACGTTCCAAATACTTTGCTACTTTTTGTAACTAAGGAATGAAAAATATTTAAGAAAAAACAAATAATAAACACATATATGATAATTACAACAACAAAAATAGCAACAACATAATATGAATATTTTTGGAAATTAATTTTTTTAAACTCAAATTGAAATGTTTTTTTTTAACTGAACAACAACAAAAATAAACATGAAAAGCTTTTTAAATACTTTGTAAATTTGGTTTAACGCGGGCGAACGAACGAGCGAACGTACCCTTTTTCGTTGTAAAAAAGAAATGTCACACAAATAATATTTCGTTTCTTTACTTTTAAATATTTTACTGCTCAACGTTTAAACGTTTAATTTCTTATTTTTGAAATTTTGACCGATATCGAAAAAAACTGACTAAAGCGGCACACAGCAGAAACGTTACTGACTGAATACTGAAAGCAATCGTTGTGTATGCGACAGCAATGAAGTGAAGTTAGAAAAAAGTTACCTAAAAAAAAAACTAAAAATAAATAAATAAAAACTGCAAAAAGGTAGTAAAATTAATATAAAGACTATAACAACAACAATAACAACAACAATAATAATAACAAAAACAACAGCAACAATACTAATGTGAAGAAAAGAAATACAGACACATATACATCCAGACAATAATATCGATTTGATAATTTTTGCTTTTATTATTTTTATGATTTCTGTACTTAATAATATTTTTTAGCATATTTATTGAATTTGTTTTTGCCATAGACGATTTGCTTGTTGTTGGGATTGTTATTTTAGCTGTTGTGTTTATTAATGAAAAAATTTTATAAAACAACAAAAACTTACCAACAAACGCAGTGAAAGAATGAAAAAAATTATTTAATAAAAATCCATAAAACATTTGAGTAAACTTGGGGAGTACAAGGGAGCGTATGAGTGCTACGCAATTTGAACGCTAAGCACAAGTAACTTTTACAAAAACAATAAGAAAAACAAAAGCAAAAAAATCATTGTGTGTCGTTGTGTATGGTTGCTTGTGTTTTTTCTGTTTTTTCTGTTTTTTCTTAGTTATTAATAACAACCAGTTAATGAAGTATGTAAGGTGGTGTTTGAGTGGGAAAGACACTTTGCATTTGCATTTGTGCATTGAGGATGTAAATCAAGTTTTCGTATTTGCTTTTCAACTGCAAGTCTTTGAACACTTTTTTCTATTTGGGTTTATGTTATTTGTTATGTTAATTGAAAAACTCTTTTTGTATCTTTATTGTTGCAAATACTTTTTTTGAGTGTCAAAAGGTGGTAACTTGCGTGAATGTAAAGCAATGACATTGAAAATAAAATTCAATTGCACGTAACATTTCAATTGCAATACGAAAGTGTAATGCTGGGAACTGTGTCACATCGCACTGTGTAACTTTTTATGATTTGAACATCAAATATACTATAAACTAAACACAAAAGACTTTAGTAAACATGTGGTGATTTAAGTATGCCAATTTTTTTTGCCTTTTTTTATAGGTGAAGTTGTTGGATAAAACAATGATTGATGAAATTTAACGAAATGATATATCATTATTGAACTACCATTTATTAAAGATTTTTTTTGTATATTCTCTGTATACTCATATACGTTTTAAAGTTATTTAAAACAAATATTATCTAACAAATTTTTTCATTCGTTATTTCCCATGACGTATTATGGAAACTGTTAAACTTGTCCCGTTTTAGCAAAATGGTTACTTACCACTTATCTTAACCTACTTAACTCATTCTATTAAAAATAATAATTCATTTTAAAATGTTCAAGGAACAAAGGTCATAAAAAACCATTCATAGTTTTCACCAAGCAAAACAAAAAAGATTTTTAATTTAAAACAAACTTATCAGTTTCATTCTGCATGAACATTTGTCTATAAGAAGATCTGTCCAAAGTGGGTGCCGAGTTTGCAGACCGGTAATCAAAAACAAACGATGTATCGATGATTCTGACAGTTGTTTGGAGCTACTTTAGCGAAATACAAAGAACAGAAGATCCTTCGAAATACGAAGGAAAGAAGAAAAGAAGAGTGGATAGCTGGCAGCAAACTTCGTGTGCTGTATATAAACAATACATTGGGGTGGTCGCATAATGTATGAAGCTAAGAAATATGATCGTGTTTTGTACATGAGGATGTGGTGCTAAAGAAAACGTATTTGGATGTTGAATTTCATCTTTTAAAATTATTTGAACGCTTATAAAACTACTTGACAATAAATTTGTGACCAATCGGATAATGTATAAACGTTGCTATTAGATCCTAAAGTAAGAAAAAACAATTAATTTAAATCCATTCAATCCAAAAGACAGTATTATTGATCTATAACTCTAATAATTAAATTAGTATTCACCTGTAGATTATTAGCTTCCAAACAAGCCAATATATTCCAAATTTTAATCATGAATTTTTTAATGTAGCACAAACTTAACGGTCACATTTTCTTCGCTATAGATAACATTTTAAAGTATTTTTTATTATTATATGTGTAATATGTTTACTAAAGTAAAGAAGCGCTTTACGCACTTCGAACATATATTTTGAAAAAAATATTAGTTCCTTTTTGAGAGTTAAATGGGATTTATGGATTAAGATACTTTGCTGGGTCACACAGCAATCAATGATAATGAGTCTGTAAACTATCTTGCGAGGTCAGGATCTGCCATGGTTTTCAACCGAAAAAAGTTGCTGGCATGACATTCCAGGTAAACGTCAGGCTAAAGAGCTGGTTCATCCTTACAGTTACGGTAAGGTATCCTTCTTTACAGAACAAAATTAAGTTTACTGGTGGGATATTTACGATGATGTGGCGTCAACTGTGATCGCTACAATTCCATTTTTATAATTTAATTAATTAATTAATTAATAATTTAATTTAGAGTTAAATTGAAGATAGAGATGCGGAATTCATGTGTTTTTAATGAAACGATACACCGAACCACTTCCATTTCACTTCTATTGGCAGGTTTCAAGCAATAAACTGAAATAAAAGTTTGATTGGTTGTTAAGTTGCTTCTTAAAGTTCTGTTAGCAGATCTTTTATAAGAAGGAATTCAATGGCTTACAACACTAATTGTGCTGATTATCTTCGCAGTGTGCTCCGTAGACCAGAATATTAGTCGTTTTTATGATTACCTTCATTTTGTTTCTAAAAATAATAACTTTTTTCAAACAATTTCTGAGATATAATAATATATATAAAACAATTAAAATGCGTACAATATGAAATAAGCTTATTAATGTATAAATATGAAATTCGACTTAAAAATTTGAATTTAAATTTTCAAACTATCCAAATTTTAGCCTCACTGTATTTTACTACACCGCTCAAACTGTGCCCACAATACTGAATATTTGAATAAACGCCACTAACTTCATATCTGGAACTGTAGCAGCTGTTTAACAAACGTCAAACAAAATTTCTTAAATAAAATATTAAAGAAATACGGTTGTAAATAAAGTTTGTATAAGAATGGCTGCATCAAGCAGGGAAGCGGTTAAAAGAGCTGTACAACAAGTACGTCCCATTTTATCAATAAATCGTGACGAGGCTCGAAAGCGTGCCTTAAATTTGTACAAAGCCTGGTACCGACAAATTCCGTATATTGGTAAGTATAGCTGTAGTGCACTTTTGTTATGTCATCAACAAATTGGTTAATATATTAAAAACCAATAACAAATTGAATTAAACGCATTATGCACGGCATATTGAATACTTCTTTTTGTTTTATAATTTATAGTTATGGACTATGACATACCAAAGTCAGTTCCCCAATGCCGTGAAAAACTGCGAGAAGAATTCGAAAAGCATCGCAACGTTACTGATATACGCGTTATTGATATGCTAGTTATCAAGGTGAGCCCATTTGTTAATAAATCATAATTATATATATATTTCAGTTTTAAACTCTAACTTGCTGTAAACTGTGTTAACCCAGCATCCTTTAAAACGATGAAGTCCCCAGTGTGGGGACTTTTGTTTTGTTTTTTCCATCAATTGGACGATTGAAACAGCGCATTAGTTACTCAAACTGGATATTTTGCATAAAGTTGGTTCAAAACAATTTTTATAGTATATTATATTTGTAGTGAAACTGTTCTATTAAAAACATTAGTTACTGTATATAGTGATCCTTCTTTATAGTTCTTAACCCCCATTGGCTTTAAAGTTTCACCTATCAACAAGCAAAAGAACCAGTCTTTTTTGTTGTTGTAATAGTCATAACACAGTGTAAGTCATTCCTACCAATTGGGACAATACTAGTAGGTCGCCTCAACTATATACATTTATAATTTAATCTAAAATATAATTTTCACAATATTTATAT